CTGGGTTATAATCTTATGGGAATCAGCACAGAGGAAATTTGGGGGTTGCCCGCTTGCTTCCTCTTTCCAGCAGGGCTGTTCCCTGCCGCCTGGCTGGGCTGGCTCCTCGCTCCAACATCCCCAGGAGCAGCCAAACTGGTGTCCCAGCTCCCAGAAGAACCACATCCTGGCAGTGCTCCTCCCTCAGCCAGGAGCAGAGCCCCATTCCTGCCTCCTGCCCCATTCCAAGGCCCCAGCTCTTCTCGGTGGTGGCCGCGTGTCCTGCACCATGATTCGTTCCTTTTGCCATCCCTGCTATAAAGCTTTTTAGGGATTTGCTCCAGACCAAACGTGTCCATCCTCTCCCTGTGCCCTTCATCCTGTAATTGGATTCATTTCCTCCATCCAGGCTGGGCTGCTCTCCATCCCTTTATGTAACAGCGCCGCTCTGACCCGCAGCCACTGACACCAGCGCAGGCTTGCTGCACGTTGAATCCCATTATTGGCCCTTTTTTTGGGCAGTCCCTGCTCTCTTTTCCCTCTCCCGTGGGATGTGGGCTCTCTCCAGGCTCTGTGTGGCTCGTGCTGCAGCTCCATCCCAGCACGATCCCTCCGAGCTCGTGCAGCTCCCGCTCCAGAGAGCCAAAACCCAACGGCCCCGGGCAGGGGAGCACGGGCGGGGTTGTCTGGAGAAATGATGCATTTTCCCACCCCTTTAATTAATATTTATTCTCCTTAATTCCCAATCTTTACTGTTTAGCCCTCTAAAGCCTTTGTGGTTGAGAGGCTTTCGCTGAGGTTGCTATTCCACGCCTAAGCAAAACATCCACGGATTAAACGGGCATTTTATCAAAAGTGAGCCCTGGGTGGGATCAGGCCTGGCTGCACAGGCCCCGAGGCTCTGCAGATCTTTCTGCTGCTGTCACCATTTTCCATTCTGCTTTTCCCACATCCCAGCTGGGATGGATGTGCTGCTGTTCCTTCTCCCCAGTCTCTCCGGGGATTCCTCACCTGGGAGCTCACTGACCTGCCACACGTGAGTCTCTTTTTCACCCTGAAGCCATCCAGCTCTGTCTCCTTGTTCCTCCCAGGATGAATTGGTGCCTTGAGAGCCACAACCCTTCTCCTCTGTGGCAGATAAATGGCCACTGATTGCTGAGAGGTGCTGGGATGAACGGGGAGACTCCAGTGAGAGCACCAATAAATCCTGGGAATCTGGCATCATCCAGTCTTGGGAAATCTTCTGGCAGCTGGCACTGCTGAGCACAACGATGCTGGACCCCTTCTGTCCCTCTTCTTACTTCTTTATCTCCTTTTATTCTCCTCCCTCAATTATTTTCCCTGGTCTTCTTTCCCTCTCTTCTTTTTTTTCCCCTCTTCTTTCCCCACAATTGTTTTTCCTGCCCATCTTTCCCTCCTTTTTTCTTTCTTTTCCTCCTCTTCTTCCTTCTGCTTGTTTTCCCTGCTCTTCTTTCCCTCTTTTCCCCCCGCCTTCTTTTCTTTCCCCTCAAATGTTTTCCCTGCTCTTCTTCCTCTTTTTTCCCCCCTCCTTTTTTCCCATCCCAGCACCCCAAAAGGACAGTGGGGTGCCCAGGGACACCACTCAGCCCCATGGGACATCCTTTCCCTGGGTGTGGGGCTGCATTTTGTACCATTCCTAAAAATATTCCTGATCCCTCAAGTGAAAACCGGGTGGCTTGGATTTGAAAACCGAAATGGGAACAGCTGAGCTGCATCCCATCGTGATTTCTCACCTCCTCTCCTTTCTCTCTTCGCTCCTTCCAGATCGGGGAGAGGGTGGCAAAGGAGTGACCAAAAATTAGAGAAACAAGGCAAGGAAACATTTTTCTCCTGTTTATTTCTTTCCTTATTTGAGAGTAGAGAAAGTTTTTATAAGCCCAGACATTTATTTTATTAGAAAAAGGGATTTTTGAAACTGTTTGGGTGTTTTTTTCAGTGACAGAGTGAAATCCAGTGACAGAGGATTGTTATGGGATAGGATGTTTTGGTCAGTGCCTGTCCCCTCCAGCACTTGTAGAGGAGCCAAATCCACCCAAGCTCTGTCCAGAAAATCATTTTCCCTCTCTTTTATTCTTTCATGGAAAACTGAGGCAACAGGCAGAATTTCCCCAGTTTTGGGGTGTGCAGGTCACCTCAGAGCTGGTTTCCAGAAGGGGCTGGGTGTGCTGCTGGCACGGGCAGCTCGTTCTGCCCCTTGTTCCTTGGCACTGCTGCCAGGCCCACTGGGCTGCACTCCACTGCCAGTTTCCTGGGAAAACGACTCCCAGTTGTGCCAAACGTTTAACTTTCAGAACGAGCAGAGCTGCACTCAAACCCATCCTGCACATCATGTTTCTGTTGAGCCTCTAACCTCTGCTGCCACTTGGCACCGCAGCCCAAAGGGGAGTTTTGGGAACTGCAGGGTGCAAACTGTGCCAGGGATGCAGCAGGATGGAATTTTGGAATTAAAGAGCTGGCAGGGAGACCTCCAGCTGGGATTTTTTTTTATTTTATTTTCATTTATCCTTGTTTTGCAGCCAGGATGTGCCAAAAGCTGCATTTATGGACTGAGCCAAGCCAGAACTAGGAGATGCCTGTTGCTCCCACCTGCCCCGGCACTTCCAGAGCTGGATTCAGATCCTTTATTTTCAGCTCCACAATTCCTTCCTGTCAGAGCACTCTTGCATAATTAAGAGGTGAAGCTGGCAAGCTGCATGCAGCTAATACAGATATGATTAATTTTCATCCCTCTGTTTGATTTGGAAGGTTGTCCTTCCCCAGGCAGAAGGCTCCATCCCAGATGGATGGAAAGCTGCCAGCCAGACACGTCTTGGAGGGACAGTGGGACAAGACACGGGGAAGTTTAGTGCTTTGGAAAAGTGACCTTTCTTGGTAACTAATTTGTCACTTCCCAGCACCATCTGCTGACTCGTCAGCTGCATCCATCATAACCATGTGAAGAAAAGGACTGGAAAAGTCGATTAAAATGGGAATCGGATGGGGTTTGTGCAAATTGTTTAGCGAAGGGAGGGGAAAACCCCACACTGGGTGGGTGACATCCTGCCCACCACCCCCAGCCGCGTTCCCAGGGAGGTTTCCAGGGAGCAAAGCTGCTCTGGAGTCTCTGGGAGCTTTCCACTGCCCAGGGGTTGGTAAGCTGGGAGGATGCCCAGGGACCCGGGGAGCAGCTCAGTGCTGGACATGAGGTGTTTCAGGAGGGCTCTGTCCCAAATCGAGTGTCACTGACAGCTGGGACAGCAGCAGGTCCCTGGTGTGCCCCTGTCCTATTGACTGGCTGCCGTGGGGCCTGGTGACAAAAGCCATTCCCCGTGACAAATGGAATTCCCAGATGACAAATACCATTCCCAGGTGACAAAAGCCATTCCCGGGTTACAAATGGAATTCCCAGATGACAAATACCATTCCCAGGTGACAAACGCAATTCCTAAGTGACAAATGCCATTCCCAGGTTACAAATGCCATTCCCAGGTGACAAACAGCATTCTCAGGTGACAAATGCCACTCCCAGGTGACAATCGCCATTCCCAGGTAACAAACACCATTCCTAAGTGACAAACGCCATTCCCAGGTGACAAATGCCATTCCCAGGTTACAAATGCCATTCCCAGGTGACAAATGCCATTCCCAGGTGACAGTTGCCATTCCCAGGTGACCATCACCATTCCCAGGTGACAAACGCCATTCCCAAGTCACAAATGTTATTCCCAGATGACAAGTGCCATTCCCAGGTGACAAACGCCATTCCCAGGTGACAAACGCCATTCCTAAGTAACAAACACCATTCCTAAGTGACAAACGCCATTCCCAGGTGACAAACGCCATTCCCAGGTCACAAATGCTATTCCCAGATGACAAGTGCCATTCCCAGGTGACAAACGCCATTCCCGGGTGGGCAATCGCCATTCCCGGGTGGGCAATCGCCATTCCCCATCTCCCTCCCCAGGCAGGCAATGCTGCTGCTCCCCGCTCTGCCAGCCCACGGAGCCCGTGGATGCAGGAGGATTTCCCAGCTCGTTTTTCCCTCCTGCTCCTCGCCTGGCTGCTCCCAGACTCCCTCAGGAGCAGCACCAGGAGGTGCCTGGCCTGATCCCAAACCCTCTGGCATCAGCTCCTGGCTGATGGTCCCGGGAGAGCTCGGATGAGTTCTTGCACAATTCCCTCCCTCTCTCAGCACCTCGTTTGTCTGGAGAGGGATGACAGTGCAGGATTTGTGTTCCCGAGGGGGATCAGTGTGCCAGGCTCAGTGAGGATGGGAGAAGGAGCCACTTGAACACTCAAAGTGGCAATTTTGATATTATTGTGATTTGCAATTACAGTAGAAAGATAATTGACACAGGTGTCATTGTAGTGCTGGGACATTCACATCCTAAAATCCTTGTCTCGGTGCCTAGAAACACAAGCCAGGAGAGAGGAATTTCTCCAAATTAGAGATGGAGAAACTGAGGCAGCCTCAGCTGTGGGGCCACCAGGAACAGCTGAAGAACCTGGGGAGGGAGAAGAGGGGATCTGCCTGGAAACGAGAAACTCAGAAAACTCCAGTGCAGATAACAACATTCCCTGCCTGGGAAAGCTGTTTCCATGCAGGCCAGGCAGCCGGGCAGGGTCACAGGTGAGTGCCTGCAGTGCCTGGGTGGGTTTATAAAGGGAGGAGAAGCAGCAGGAGCACCCAGGTGTGTCAGGAGGGAGAAGAGCTCCGACCGCCAGTGTCCCGTGGCTGCACTCCCAGGTAGGTCTTGGCACCTCTTGGCCACAGAAGAACCAGCTCAGAGGAGGAGGAAGGAACAAAATCGATGCTGAAACAAGGGGGAAGTTGCTTTTCCCTCATCCCCATCTCAGGAGCACCAATTCCAGCAGCTCCTACCTCCTG